TCCTATAACCAGATTAGTGAGAATGCGAAATAAAAGCGGAAAAATGATACCCAAAATTGATAACGGAGTTCAACCAATTTTGCCTACATCTTCGGACTGCTGCAGATCTTTTACTAAAGAGAGAAAATTTACAGGTGTTTACAAAACACTCACTACTCACAAGAGAACTCTCTAAACTCTTTAGTATTGGGAGAAAAAAATGATATTTGGGATTTTGGGATGATTTAGAAGCTAAATGAGCTATGGTATTTATAGTTGAAGCTTAAAGACTAATCTTGTAAATATCCTAAAATATGCAGTGGCTAAAATGTAATTAACCCAAAAATATTTTAATTAAAAAATTGAGGTACCGAATTCGGTGCCCCATTTGTTGAAAAGCATCAAGCCTTTGTTGAAAAAAGGCATGCGCCCCCCCTTCTGACTTTTGCGTTTAACAATCTCCCACTTGAAGACTGATTTTAATCTTTCTTCACACCTCGATCAATGCAGCAGCATTTCTAGTCTGGTTATTCTAGCATGCCAACTGAAGCTGAACACAGCTTCAGTTTGTCCGTAGTCATCGTCTTTGTCAACATGTCTGCCGGATTTTGAGCTCCACTAATCTTTTCAAGTTTCAAAATCTCATCTTCCTGAAGAGACCAGATAAAATGATATCGCAATTGTATGTGCTTCATTATGGAATGAAAAGACGGATTCTTTGCTAGATGGATAACACTTTGACTGTCGCAATATAAGACATTGTTTTCGTGTTTCTTGCCTAACTCTTCCAAGAAACTTTGGAGCCAAACCATCTCCTTGCTGGCTTCCGTAACAGCGACATATTCTGCTTCAGTTGTGGAGAGAGCAACTATCTTTTGTAGTTGAGAAACCTAACTCACTGCAGTTCCTCCTAGAGTATAGACATACCCTGTAGTGCTTCTTCTGATCTCGACATTTCCGGCTAAGTCAACATCTACATAGCATGTCAGTATCGTATCTCCACATTTGAAACAAAGTGTTTTGTTTGTGGTACCCCGCAGATATCTGAGGATCCATTTGACTGCTTCCAGTGCACCTTGCTTGGATTATTCATGTATCTGCTAACAACTCCCACTGCATGAGCAATATCTGGTCTAGTACAAACCAAGGCATACATCAGACTTCCAATTGCTAAGGTATACGGCACATTCACCATGTGTGCACGTTCTTCCTCCGTCTTTAGTGACTGTTCTTTGGAGAGTCTAAAATGAACACCTAAAGGTGTACTTACTGGTTTAGCATCTTGCATGTTGAACCTGGAGAGTACTTTGTTGATGTACTCAGCATGTGATAACATCAAAGTCCCCGATTTTGTGTCTCTCTTGATCCTCATCCCAAGAATCTGCTTTGCAGAGCCTAGATCTTTCATTGCAAACTGCTTTGACATTTTTTCCTTCAAGTTTATAATCTCTTGCATATCTGAACCTGCAACAAGAATGTCATCAACATACAACAATAAAATAATGAAGTTGTTGTCGAACTTCTTGATGTAGCAACAATGATCTGCTTGGCATCTGATAAAATCACTGCTACCCATGAAGCTATCGAACTTCTTGTACCACTGTCTAAGAGCTTGTTTTAAACCATACAAGCTCTTCTTCAACCTGCATACCAGGTTTTTCTTACTTGCCTCTATGAAGCCTTCTGGTTGCCTCATATAGATTTCTTCCTCCAAATCACCATGAAGGAAAGCTGTCTTTACATCTAACTGCTCAAGATGTAAATTCTCTGCAGCTACAATTTTCAACATCAGTCTGACTGTAGACAGTTTTACGACTGGAGAAAAAATTTCATTATAGTCAATGAAAGCCTTTGACAACCAATCTTGCTTTGTAGTGTTTGTTCTCATCGTGCTCTTCTTTGACCCTGTAAATCCACTTGTTATGGAGTGCTTTCTTGCCTGGTGGTAATTCAGCTAATTCCCAGTCTGATTTGACATAAGCGAGTTCATCTCATCTTTCATTGAAGACTCCTACTTGACTGAATCATCCACCTTCATTGATTCATTATAGCACTCTGATTCACTATTGCCAGTCAGCAACAAGTAGTGCAAAGAAGGCGAATAACGCTGGGTTGGTTTAGGAATTCTGGAGGAGCGTCTTAGTTCTGGTGTGCTTGGTTCTTCTTGAACTGCTTCAGGATTGATCTGAACATCATTTCCAGAAATCTCCTCGAACTCAGCAAATTCCTTTATTTCAGCTTCGGTATTAGAGCTATTTGATTCTATGGTTGACCTGTCTTTGTACATCACATTCTCATTGAAAATGACATCTCTACTTCTGATGATCTTCCGATTTTCGTAGTCCCAAAACCGGTAACCAAACTCATCACCACCATAACCAACAAACACATATTTGTTGGAATTGACATCAAGTTTACTTCTTTCATAAGAATTTATGTGTACATAAGAAATACAACCAAATACTCTTAAGTGTGAAAGGTTTATTTCTTTTATGCTCCAAACTTCCTCTGGTATTCCGTCATCCAAAGGAACTGAGGGCCCACGGTTGATCAGGTAAGCTGCAGTGTTGATAGCTTCAGCCCATAGCAATTTGGGCAATCCGGCATGTATCCTCATGCTTCTGGCACGTTCATTCAGAGTTTTGTTCATGCGCTCTGCTACGCCATTCTACTGCGGTGTCATGGGAACTGTTGTCTCCATATTGATCCCATTGTTTGCATATAAATCTCTGAATCTATTATTTTTGTACTCTCTCCATTGTCAGACCTCAATCGCTTGATTTTCAAACCAGTCTTATTTTCACCATGGCCTTCCATTTTCTGAAGGTATCAAAGACTTCTGATTTCTTCTTCAGAAAATAAACCCACACCTTTCTTGTAGAATCATCGATGAATGTGACATAATTTAGTGAGCTTGCAAGAGATGGAACTAGAGATGGTCCCTATACATCAGTATGAATCAACTCTAATTTTTCAGCCTTGGGTGTCTTGCCAATCTTTGCAAAACTTACTTTATTTTGTTTGTCAAAGATGCAATCTTCACATAGTCCGACATCTACATTCTTTAGATCCGACAGCTTTCCTTTAGACAAAAGTGTCTTCATCCCTTTCTTGCTCATATGGCCAAGCCTTTGGTGCCATAGGTTTGATTTCCCATCAGCGTCTGCTACTGCAATGATATTCTCTAAGTTTAAGGTTACATAGAGAGTACTAGTCTTCTTACCACAAGCAATGATGAGTGCTCCTTTGGTAATCTTCCATTCACAACCTGAAAAGGTTGTACTATAACCTTCTCCATCAAGCTGTCATACAGAAATCAAACTTCTCTTGAGGCCAGGAATATGTCTCACTTCTTTCAGTTTCCAGGTGGTCTGGTTTGGCAACTTTAATCAGATGTCTCCTTTTCCGACAATCTTCAAGGTTTCATCATCAGCCAGATGAACCTTCCCAAAATCACCACTGACATAGTTCTCCATGATTTCTTGGCATAGGGTGGAGTGGAAAGATGCCCCTGAATCCAAGATCCATGATTCAATCGGACTATTGACGCTTAGAATCATGGCATCACATGTCTCCTCTATCATGTTGGCAGATTCCTGTGCACCGGTATCTTTCTTAAGTGCTCGACAATCTCTTTCAAAGTGACCCTTCTTGCCACAATTATAACATGTAAAATCTTTCCTTCCCGTTCTTGATTTCTCCTTTCTGGATTTGGATTTGCCACGATTTGAATTTCTTTCTGAAGTTCTCCCTCTGGACTCCGTATGCAAGGCTGAGGAGGTTGATGCTTCACCCGATTCTCTCCGTCGAATTTCTTCTCTCAGTACCAGATCCCGAACATCGTCGAATTTCAATTTACTGTTTTTCGACGAGCTGCTAACTGCTGTAACTGTAGCATTCCAACTGTTTGGTAAAGATGATAAGAGAATTAAAGCTCGAACTTCATCATCGAATTCAATTTCCACAGAACTCAACTGGGTTGTGATTGTGTTGAGTTCATTTAGGTGTTGAGCCACTGATGCCCCTTCCGCGATCTGCAAATTGAATAAGTTCCTCATCAAATGAACTTTGTTTGAAGCTTATGGCTTCTTATACATACTAGAGAGAGCCGTCATAAGACCTGCCGATGTCTTTTCCTTTGCTATGTTGAAAGCAACATTTCGGGATATCGTCAGTCGGATAACTCCGAGGGCTTGTCTGTCGAGAAAAGCCCAGTCTTCATTCATCATGCCCTCTGGTTGCTTTCCTGAGAGAGGTTTATATAGATTTTTCTGGTACAGAAAATCTTCAATATGCATCTTCCAAAAGTCAAAGTTTGCACCATCGAACTTTTCAATTTTTACCTTCCCTTCGTCTGCAGACATCGGTCCCACTCGAATCTGGCTTCGTTTGGATCGTTTCTGACAATTCTTGCGAACCATCGTGTATTAGAATACCTCCGTCGACAAATTCATATCGCCGACAAATTTTTTACTATTCACGAAATTTATTATTCACGTGAATAGTCATGAATAGTAACCTAAAAAAATTGACAAAATTCACAACTAAAAGCTCTGATTACCAGTTGTTAGGAAATAAACTGAGTACGAGTAATTTCTCTATAACCAGATTAGTGAGAATGCAAAATAAAAGCAGAAAAATAATACCCGAAATTGATAACGGAGTTCAGCCAATTTTGTCTACGTCTTCGGAATGCTGCAGATATTTTACTAAAGAGAGAAAAATTACACGTGTTTACAAAACACTCACTACTTACAAGAGAACTCTCTAAACTCTTTAGTATTGGGAGAAAGAAATGAATTTTGGGATTTTGAGATGATTTAAAAGCTAAATAAACTAGAGTATTTATAATTGAAGCTTAATGATTAATCTTTTAAATACCCTAAAATATTCAGTAACTAAAGTATAATTAACCCAAAAATATTTTAATTAAAATATTAGTACACCAAATTCGATACCTTTGTTGAAAAACACCACCAATCCTTTGTTAAGAAAAAGAAAAAAAAGGCATGCGCCCCCTCCCCCTCTGACTTTTGTGTTTAACAGGAACTTCATCTTCAACTTTATCTTCTACCAAAGCATGTGACTGCGATGAGATTTCGGAGCTTCAAACCAGCCACGTTCCAATATACGTTAAACGCCGCCGTTTTGGTTTCTTACTAGAAGATCAATGTTTTGCTTGTTCTACGCTATCCTAAAGTCTTCAATTTGACCCAAAGAGCAATCCAGGGAGAAATGATGAATCTAAATAAACAAGGAGAGACAAGGTACTTCAGTAAAGTTAATATCTCTTCTCATTTGAGTGGCAACTCGATATACGAATTTAGTTCAGAATTGATCCGGTATACAACTTTTGATCCACCCCCTTTCCAAGATGAATTGATGGAAGATGGTGTTCAGATGTTTACTGCTAGAGAATTCTTTCAAGTACTTTACCATTCCCCCGGGTAATTTTCAAGTACTGCTCCAAATTACATGTTCAACAGAAGCTATAAGAATCAGATCCATGACAAATTAGGCCCTTTCGTGCTCCGGAAGGAGATGCAGGCTGCTGATGGTTCGAGTTTTGACGACGTAAAGCTCATTTTCCAACATGTCAAATGCGAGCAAGATACTAATAGACCCGGAATTGCAAAGGTTTCTTCAGTGCCGAGAGCATTTACCAAAGGAAGCTTTCAACATTTGGAAAGATTAAGAACCGGTCTTTCGGGGTCGACTTTAGCCACTGAGGGTATATGGAATTCTTCTTCTGGACAGCTTTTCATGGTTGGATGTCAAGGGACGGTCGAACCAGGGTTCGAAGGATGTCACTATGTGATTGCAATGTACTTTCCACGTTCATTTTCCATTAAGCAGAGAAGCTCCCTATTTGGAACCATATCCAACGTGAAAAAGGATATAGCTTTGGACAATCCCTTATATTTTGGTGCAATGGAAGGCATTTCCGCAGAGATATCACGGAATATATATATACCGTACAATTATTCCAAGATCAATTTGGTCAATGCGTTTGAGAGTAGAACTCTACCGTATCAAATTCTAAACATTCTCAAGCAGTGGCTCTTCCACTATCCGGCTCTGAAAGACGTAGAAAAACCGCTTGCTCAGTTGAGCCACTTGACCAATAATCTTGCTTTAGATGGCTATGTAGTCCCAGATGATCAGCCAATTGCTAGGCCAAAATCTCGAGTCCTCATTCAGCTTGAGTTGCTTACTTTAGGTCCATTATCTGGATGGTCTGAACCCAATTTGTTGAAGGGAAGTCTCAGAAAGAAACCTGCCATTACAAAAGATGATCTCACAAGCTGCAGGTTCTTGAATGTGTCAATGCATCTCGCATTCAAAACTGAGAAAGAATACAAGCAAACACCTTACAAAAATGTCTCAGAATTGTCCCTGGAAGTCTACATGATCCGACTTTAGGTGAGATGCATTTGATTGCATGTAGGAAGGCTTTGGTTGCGAGTATTGGCTTAGAACGAGGCCAAGATTGTCTTATATCAGTTAAAATTCAGGACCCGTCCAGAAACTTACAATGGTGGCAAAAACCATTTGCCAAGATCACCATCAGCAACCAAAGGAAAGAAGATGACCGACCCCCTCTACTTTAGCTTGATTACCATTCATTCTCGTTTGACTAATTATCCAGATTATTTTGAAGTAATTGCTGGTAAAGCATTCTTGGAGCCGGTCGTAGGCATTCTACTGCTCACAGTGTCGATTGCTCTCATACGGAACCAGTTCTCATATATGAAGGTAAATGCAGATATTGTTCCTTACATTTCTGCTACCATGCTTTCTTTTCAGTTCCTTTGATATAGCCTTCTACTGATCAGTGGAACCAAAATCGTACTGAAAACGATGGAACTCAAGCTTACAACATGGTTCCTCGCAATCATCCTGCATACAGAACTTTGAAACTTCTTCAAAGTTTCGTGAAGGCTCTTTTCCATTTGGCAAGACTTTTCCATACGGAAAGGGACTCTAGAAGCAAGACCCTCTCTCAAAGGTCCTCTACGCAAAGATGTGGTTCAAGAGAAAAAAGGGTTATGCTGATTACCATGGCTATATACGCTTTCGGATTTCTGATTTGGTTTGTTGCTGGTTACAATCCTGATGTACAAGTACAACAGCTAAATCCCGAAAAGGACAGGCATGGACCAAGAAATGGGCAGATGTGGCAAACTCAGATGGGTATAATGACGGGTTTTGTTTACTTTGTTCAAGACTACTTTCTGCTTCCTCAGATTATTAGCAATGGATTGATGGCAATGCCTGGTAAATCCTTGATGGAAGCCTATTACCTCGGATTGACATCAGTAAGGCTGGTTATGATCTTCTTTGACTATGTAATGGATCCTATTACACAAGCCAAAGTGGAAAATTTTGATGTTGACTCGAGTTCAAACTCGAAACGTCTAACGTTCACCATGGTTCTTGGTCCGTCAACCATGATTATGTGTGCAATTCGAGTCTATATCCAGCAAAACTGGAAACACCAGAAGCATAGTTAGTCTCCGAATAGTTTACAAGCATTGTAATATTATGTAATGTGTGGTCTTGTCCTCTAAATTCATCTTAGAATCAATCAGTACCTGCAAAACACAAGTGTTTTTGCTGTCATTGTTTCGGTTCAATTGGATAATATGATTAACCTTGTTCAAGGTTGTAAGGAATTATATTCGGGAGTAGCCCCAATTGCTTAGGTATGATAGGCCATATTAACCTTTTCTCTTTTTTAACTTAAATTTGATGTGATTTTGTAGAAGTGATTACTGAGTCACTAAATTTTTTCATAAAGCAATTGCAAGCATTGTAATGATTCCTTTTTAAAAAATAAGTTATTGTAAAATGATGTATATTGCCACACTAATAAAATAACGTCATGAATAACTGTGAAACGAGTAGCATGTGAAAAACAAATCATGTAACCTATGTAAAAGCAATCCCAATGTTATATATCATCATATGAAAATAAACCCAAGAAAACGAGAGAAAAAATAATTCTTCAAAACACACACACACACAAAGTTGGAGACAATCCTTGCTCGCACAGTCAAGTATTTTTGCTTTGTTTCTGGGCATTATGCTTAAGGTGTGGTAGACCTAGGCGTTATGACCATCATATGTTCCTTGTCTAGTCACATCTTCAATCATTCGAATCACGCTTTGATTAGGTAGCGTCGATACACAGCACATGGCAATTTGTAACAGCTGCACCATTTCCTCCTCAATGTTGTCATATCTCAACAACTCGGCGTCGAAAACCTCGGCGGTCCATTCCTCACGAACTGTGGCCTGAACCCAACGAGGAAGATTAATCCCGTCTGCCCCTAGTGGTGCGTGGTTAGGTGATTTACCTGTTAATAACCCTAGTAACAACACTCCAAAGCTATAAACATCGGACTTGAAGGTAACTCTGCGGAATTCAAGCACTTCAGGTGCTAGGTAGCCTCTAAGACGACTAGGCAGAGCGGGGTTGGCAAAGAGCGGGATGAGACCGTAGTCCGAGATACAGGCTTCTTGGTCCGGTCCAAAAAGGATATTGGAGGACTTGATGTTGCCGTGGACAAAGTTGGAAACATGGAGATATGATAGCCCCCTACCCGTGCTTACCGCTATTTTCAACCGATTGTTCCACTCCAACGGAGTAGTACGTCTGCTACCTGCAATACTAAAATCACAAAATAATAAGTTGTTGACAGAATATTGTGTTGTTGCTGCCCATGATATTAGAATATTTAATTCGAAAATGCTTTGGAAGGAGCTTCATTAGAGGCTGGAACCGTGTGGCATGGCAGAATTTGTAAGGGTAGGTCCCTTCTTACTTTCATTTTAAACTTAACATGGAATGCTTGTATTGTATGGTATCTACTTGATTTTGAATATTATGAGTGCAAGTAAACAGAGAAACTAACCGTGAAGACGAGCAGACAAGCTACCACCGGCCATGAAATCGTAAACCAGCAATTTATCATCCCTTGAGTAATAATACGCCCTCAACGGAACCAACCTTTCATGCTTAATAACTCTACCCAAAATTTCCGTCTGTATTTCCATCTCTCTTTTACTAACCGCCACGTCTTTCAACACTTTTACGACCACCGTCATCTCTTCCTCCAACATCGCCTTGTACGATGTCCCAACGCTGCCTTTCCCCAACACTTCAACTGAAGCATTCAACAACTCCTCCAATTGGAAACCATAAACTCCACTTTCGAAAAACACTAGCTTATTACTTTCTTCTTGCCTCTTTCTGGCTATGTGAAGACGCGGTCCCCGCCTACGTTTCTGCTGCTTTTCCGGCCTACGTTTCTGTTTGCGGAGGCAAAGCACCAACAATAGCCCCACCATTACACACCCCACCATAATGGCTATAATATGGCCGGTGGAGAGCCCCCTCCACTTTTTACGGGGAGCTTGCTTGTCTTGAACGCCTTCTGGGTTTACTCCACAACTCAGTACAACTGAAACTAAAGTAACACACACATAATTCAGCACCATTTTTTTGGATTTAAGGTTAAAAAACATAACACCACTATTTTGCTGAAATTTTGTCGGCAGCTTCCTGGAAACGATTAGGGATTGTCACGGGTTAATATACAATTAATATACGGTATTACCGGATACATTAAAATTTATTTAATAAATTCAATTTAGCGGTACCTATTATGTTGACAACTAATAATGTTTTAGGTAGAAAATATAAAAAACTATTAAAAAATTTATTAACCAGTAAACTTTGGTTATCGGTAAGTACCTATCTTTTTTATAAAAGTGTCCATACTTTTAACATATCAAGTAAATTTTACCGGTTTTGTCATAATGAATCTGGTTTTGTCATATTTTTACCTGTTATATTGTAAAGTATCTATCCTTTTTATAAAAGTGTCCATACTTATTTCACTGTGAAAATATATTTATTATTATATTTGGTTAATATTGTTAAATTTAAATTCTAAATAATATTTTATAAAATATCAAAACAATCAAATAATTTTTTGTGTAAATGAAATTATTAAATTAATATTGTAGGTGGAAAACATGAAACACTATTAAAAAAAATTGAAACATAAATTACATAACTTAAAAAAATATATATCATTTTTATAAAAGTGTCCATACTTATTTCACTGTGGAAAACATATTTATTATTATATTTGGTTAATATTGTTAAATTTAAATTCTAAATAATATTTTATAAAATATTAAAACAATCAAATAATTTTTTGTGTAAATGAAATTATTAAATTAATATTGTAGGTGGAAAACATGAAACACTATTAAAAAAATTAAAACATAAATTACATAACTTTAAAAAAAGTATATATCATTTTTATAAAAGTGTCCATACTTATAAAAATAGGTCTAAGTCATGAATAAATATTAAAAAATTGTACTACCAGTTCGCGTCGATCCAAAACGATATAACAGGTAAAACTATGACAAAATCGGTATAGAAATGATAAAACCGGTAAAGCGCTACCAGATACATTTAAAGTGTCGGTACTTTAATATAAGGATCGACACTTCGTGAATTTAAAAGAGAAGCAGTTTTAAATCCTATAAAGTGTCGATACTTTTAAAAAATGTATCGATCCAGTATGATATACCAGGTAAAAATATGATAAAACCGATAACAAAATGATAAAACCGGTAAAACGTTACCGGATATATTGAACGTGTCGATACTTTATATAAGGATCGACACTTTGTGAATTTAAAAGAGAAGCAGTTTTAGCGCCTATAATGTGTCGATACTTTAAAAAAATATATCGATCCACAACGATATAACAGGTAAAAATATGATAAAACCGGTATCAAAATGATAAAACCGGTAAAATGATACCGGATATATTGAAATTGTCGATACTTTCGTAAGTACGTGTAATAAATTATCGATACTTTCAAAGAAATAGGTAATTATCCTTTCGAAAGTATTGACACCTGACATAAAAGTATCGACACTTTTGTATTTGTATCGATTAAATATAAATAACATATCCGATGAAAATATAAGCTAAATATCCTCTGAAAATAGATAGAACGGACGAGTTTTTGAAATCGAAGCGTAATTGTTGTGGTATTTCAGAAGGCGTTTCTAAAGCGAAGTTTGTTTGTTTGTTGCTGCAGTCGAATCGAAAAGTATGTTGTCGAAACCCTAGTTTTTTATTATTACAGTAATCGCGATAGGGTTTTTATGTGTTGTTTGGGGTTTTGGAGTAAAGAAGCATTTGGGACCGATTGCAGGTAGAAAGTGATATTCAAGGAAAAATATAAATATCGATACTTTTATTAAATATTATAGGTAGAAAATGATATTATAGGTTGTATAAATGTGCCGACACATTTTGGTGTGGCCATTCAAATTCTTTTGAAGAAAACCGTTTTACCACAAGAGTAATTATCTATATTTGTATATTGAATAAAGTGTATGTAACAAAATAATTTGATTTGCGTAAACTGATATATGAAGGAAAAATGGAGTCAATGGGTTGGAAAATTGTTGGTGGAGCAGATGACTTTGAAATTGAGGCCGAGACTCGAAAGCAACCAAAGGGTGGATATATGTACTTCTAGTAAGTATCAATGTCTTTTTGTTATTATTGTTGAAATGGTAATTGGATTAAAGTATCGATAAACTTTAAATTGATTACAAATTTTAAATGTTGACAGTATGGCCGAATGCAAAAGGATGAAGAAAGATGGCACACAGAGCGGTTCGGTATGTAAAATGAAATTGACATTGAGTAGTATTTAGTGTTAATGTATTGATTAAGAAACGTTTATGTTTTATATTAGGTGACAAAAGATGTGAGGTCCAAATGGAATTCAATGAGTGATGCTGAAAAGGAACCTTACATCACACAGTCAAGGAATGATAGTAAAGAATACAAAGAACGGAGGAAAGCACATGAAAATAAGGTATTCATTAAACTTGTAAATACTTTGATACAAAATATATAAGAACTATAACATTATATATTGTTAAAAAATGTAGGAAGTGTCGACAAGATGCAGCATTAAAAGGGTGAATTTATTAATTAAACACCTTAAGGAGAAGGGTCAGTTGAATATGCTGGGAGAAATAGGTTTTGGATCGTTGGTAGGAGTAAGGGATCGACCTATTCGGAGGGAATTGTGTCGATCCTTGATGGCGCAATTTGATGTCAGACAATGTATTGCTAAATATGGTGAGTTTTCATTTCCTCTCGGGATCCCATGTGCTGCAGCTGTATTGGGGGTAGAAAATGAAGGCAAAAGTGTTGTAGAAGTCTGTAAGAGTAAGGACTGGAAAGCACTTGCCTCCAAATATGGTTTGAAGCATAAGGTGACATATGCTGAAATTGAAGAGGAAATAAAAAGTGGATCTTACGATGGGGATGAGTTGAAGGCCAGAGTTCTATTATACCTTGTCGGTATCTTTCTTTGTCCAACGGGTAATACGTCAACGAACAAAGAACATATGAAGCTCATTTGTGATGAAGGCTTGAAGGGTGAATTCAATTGGGCTGAATATATCCATTCGAGATTGATTGAATCAATAATCACCTTTAAAAAGGGCAGCCAGAGATACCTCAAAGGGTGCATAGCAATCTTAGAGGTAAATGAGTTGAAGAACTTTTTGTAAGTTTTTATATAAAAATATAAATTTTATTATAAATGCAGGTTGCACTGTTTGATTTTTGGTCGGGCTGTGAGGCAGTGCCAGCTTATGAAAGAACCGGAGTGGCACGCATCCGTGCATGGGGGAAGGAAAAGGTGGTTAGAGTGATGGTGAAGTTGAAGTTGGATAGAGCGAAGAAGCAAGAAAGGGTAATAAATGTAATTAAATAATATTAAGAATATAATCAATGTCTTAATATTGTAATTTAATTTTGAAGGTTATTGGCAAGGATGTAGAGGAGGCAGTGGAGGCAGAGGAGAAGAAAGGAGGGATGGTTGTATTGGGGGATGACGGTGAGTGGGACGACGGTGAGGGAAAACAGAGTAACTTCGACATTTTGATGTCTGAATTGGCTGATATCAAAAAAAATCCAATTTGAAATCATGCAAAGACAATCAAGAGTCGAAGAGAAACTTGATAGAGTCGAAGAGAAACTTGAGAGAGTCGAAGATACACTTGAGAGGCATAAGGGGTAGTAAGGGAAGTGGTGAAAGAAGTTGGGGTGTTAAGGGGTGATATTAAGATGGTGACGGGTGAAAAATTTGAGGAGTGGTGAAGGAGGTTGTGGAATTGAGGAGTGAACTTACGGGGGTGAAGGGGGTGGTTGATAAATACTTGGATGAAGGAGATCAATTGAAGGGTGAAATAAAAGAGATGAAGAGCTATGTAGAAAAAAAATACGATGAACTGAAAAAATATGAAGAAGAAAAGAGGGAGGAGGAAGAAGAAGAGATGGAAGAAATGAGGAGGAAGGAAGTCGATGTCATTTATACACTGGAGAGTGTTATAGCAGATTTGGATTCGGAATGTCCTGCACCCCAGAAGAAGAAGCAGAAGGTAAGTTGAATAAAAGAAAACTTAATTTGATTTTTATTATGTTGTTGTGACAAAAATTTGTATGCAAAATTGTAGGTTGAAAAAGCGGATATTCCAAGCGGAATTGATGACATCGAAGCTGCAATTTGTGATTATTTATGGAATAGTGAGTTAGAATCGGAGTAAGTGAAATATATTTCTTTGTGAGTTATATTTAAATATTTCATGACAACATATTAATCATAATGATTCATACAGATATTATGTAATCTCAATGGGAAATCAATTCGCTAGTGTATACGACGTTGCAACGTTGAAGCATACGGAATGGGTTGGCGGTGTGGTAAGTAGAAAGTAGAAAATGTTAAAACTTATTGAATATGTTCTGATGTGTAATTAATTTTGTTAGGTTATTGATTTGCTCGCTTGGACAGTATGCTACGATTCTCAGAAGTCACTCCGGAGGATTGGCTACCTTCCATACCACTTAGCGGTGAGTTAAATTAATAAATGGAGATAAGTAGTGTTATAGACGGTAAATTAATAATGTTTGTTGGGTAATTGCAGCAGCAGGCGTTGGATGCCAACAACAAAGAAAGTGTTGAGGGTATTGCTACCTTCTGGGGTCCCATACTGAATAACTATGTGAAATTCACCGACTGTGAGAAGGTAAAACACCATACCCATTGCAAATGATGTTTTCGGATATAGAATGTTGAATTTTGTCAAATTGGGTGTGAAATTTGTTGCAGATCATGATCACAATAAACTACCATAATTCACATTGGTATCTGTTGGTGTTGGATATGGTAGATCGTGTTGCAACAATATATGATAGTATGTTTACAACTGAAGCAGCTAAACAGAGAGTGAATGATGCTAAGAGATTGGTATGTATGTA